CACCTCGGAAGGATGGAAGGCTGAGTCAACCTTGAGCCGGTGAGATTAGAACCGCTGAACTGCAGATAACAGTCAGCTGAAGTGGCCTGCAGTTATTTATTTCACTTTGGGAACAAAACAAAAACAAGCATTAATCCAATTCAGTGCTGAAAAGCGGCTTGCAACTTACCTGCTGATGTGTGCTTGAACTTTTCGCTCTTCTTCTTCCTCCATTTCCATGGCTTGAAAATTCTTCCTAGATTGGCAAACTTACTTCTCCTCCTTATAGGTGGGGTGTGTGTCCCTGGAACCAATGAATCCGAACGCATTGCAGCCAGTCTCTCTACTTCCTCAGCTGAGTTGTCGTAAAAGAAAGGAAAAGAAGAAAAGAGAAGAAGGCCATCTTAGTAAAGCAGGTGGGCAATATTTATCCACGTTGAAGCCCCATTTGGAAAGTGCTACCAAATAAGTGCCACCACATTAATTTGTTGCACTTTGCAACAATTGGTCAGCAATAATCCAGAAAGAGGATCCCAGATTCCCTTTTGGATTAAGAAGGAAGTTTAAGAAGATTTTTGAGGCAGTTTTTTTCCTGTTTATCTTTAAAAATACTTGAGTGAACTAAAAGAGATCTGGATGACACAACCTAGAGCTGAACTACAACTCAAGACATTGCCTGCTACTCCTGTGACAAGAATTATGCTGGTTAGTGCGTGAGTCTGGGAATCCAGCTTCTCTAAGGAGAAGTTGAAGATGCAGTTTGTGTGCCCCTCCAATGATACATTTCTTAATTTTCCCCTTCCTCCATTTCATTTAAGAAGGCCTAGATATCAGGGATGTTGAAGACTTTCTACACAGCTTCTGCAAGTTATTGCTCAAATTCCTAATTAATTATTGATGCTAAATGCTTGACAGTGACTTTGGTACATAGATTATAGACAGAAGTGGTATTCGACGGATTCTGACCAGTTCTGATGAACAGGTAGTGGGAATTTTAAGTAGTTCGGAGAACCGGTAAATACCATCTCTAACTGGCCCCGCCCCCATCTATTCTCTGCTTCCTGGGTCCCAGCTGATCGAGAGGGAATGGGGATTTTGGAGTAACCTTCCTCTGGAGTGGGGAGGGAATGGAGATTTTACAGTATCCTTCGCCTGCCACGCCTACCAAACCACAACCACCAAGCCACACCCACAGAACCGGTAGTAAAATGTTTGAATCCCATC